AGAAGATCATACATGTATCTATATGTAGCTTTTAACAATTAAATATGCTAATCAGACAAAATGTGTTTGTGAAACACTGATGCCCCGTATTGCAACTTATAGCGAAGGTTTAACTTTCTCAAATGAAAATCAAATGTATTGGTAAGTTCTTGTCTCGAGGAATATACTTGTGAAATATGAAAGCCCTGAACGCAACCATTGAATAAATATGGAAAAGGGGGTTAATTTTTTTTCAAACAAAAGTCAAACATCAAGGTCAAAGTCAAATGGTCAAAATTAATGGTGCCCAAAGAAAGGCCTTCTCACAAGGAATACACATGTGAAATATAAAAGCCCTAGCATCAACTGTGCAACAGTTATGGCCAATGCTATAGTTTTCCAAAAGTATGATAAACTCCAAGGTCAATTGCAAAGGGTCAAAGTTGTTAGTATCCAAAGGAAGGTCATGTCAAAAGGATTACATATGAGAAGTATGAAAGCCCTAGCACCAACCGTTCAAAAGTTATGTCCAATGCTATAAGGTTTTCAAAAGTAGGTCAAACTCCTAGGTCAATGTCAAAGGGTCAAAATTGTTGGTATCCGAAGGAAGGTCTTGTCACAAGGAATACACATGTGAAGTAAGAAAGCCCTAGCACCGACCGTTCAAAAGTTATGGCAAAGGTTAAAGTTGGGTAAATTTTGCAAAACTGGGTCAAACTCCAAGGTCAAAAGGTCAAATATGATGGTACCAAAAGAAAGGTCTTGTCACAAGAAATACACGTGTAAAATATGAAAGCCATAGCTCCAACCAATCAAACGTTATGGGCAATGTTATAGTTTTTGCGGACAAATAGACAAAGTGTGAAACAGACAGCTGGATACACAGACGGACGGTCAGAGCAAAAACTATATATCCCCGAATCTTCGATACGGGGCAGAAAAAGTATAAAGGCAATGTCTGTTTAGTGCAGTGACACAGTAGCCAGTAGACGAGTCGTGGTCAAGTACGCTGCTGAAGAAAAGGTGAGACAGGGGTTAGACGTATCTGAACAAGCCTTTTCTTCTGTATCAAGTTTATACATTTTAGGAAAGTTTTTAGATAAAGTGAAACTTAGTAATAAACAAATAGCTGAGCCAGCAGTCAAGATACTGACTAGGGAAACTGATAGAGCCGTTGATTGATTGTACATGTATGTTGTTTTATGTCCCATCCGAGAATTTTTCACTCATATAGAGACGTCATCATATACCGGTGTCAAATTTAGACCTATACTCGGCACTCATGGCCATTGAGCAGTGACGATTCCGTATCGTGCCAAAGCCTACCACGACATGGGCCCTCAGTTTTTAAGGATTCATCCGAAAACCCGTGACTTTCACTTTTAGTCCCTGGCGAAGGAACTTTCACTACCTATGTTCACGTCCTATGTTTGAGCCGTAGTGAGACGAGTTAGATTGAAACATTACCTTATTACCCCGATTCAAAGACTTTTTAAGTCCCCGGTGGGGTATACAGTTTTTGCCCTGTCCGTCTGTCTGTTTATCCGCAAAAATCCTTGTGACATGACCATTCTTTGGATACTAACATCTTTGACCTTTTGAACTTGACCTAGGAGATTGACCTACTTTTGAAAAAACTTTAACCTTGGCCAAAACTTTTGAACAGGTGGTGCTACGGCTTTCATACTTTACATGTGCAATCCTTGTGACAAGACCTTCCTTTAGATACCAACAACTTTGACCTTTGAGTTTCACCTACTTCTGTAAAACTTTAACCTTGACCACAACTTTTGAACGGTTAGTGCTAGGGCTTTCATACTTCACATATGTAATGCTTGTGAAAACACCTTTCTTTGGATACCAACAACTTTGACCCTTTGACCTTGACCTTGAAGTTTGACCTACTTTTGTAAAAACTTTAACCTTTGCCATACTTTTTGAATGGTTGGTGCTAGGGCTCTCCTACCTCACATATTTAAACCCTTGTGACAACACCTTTCTTTGGATACCAACAACTTTGACCCTTTGACCTTGATCTTGGAGTTTTACCTACTTTTGGAAAACTTTAACCTTCGCCATAACTTTTGAACGGTTGTTGCTAGGGCTTTCATACTTCACATATGTAATACCAACAACCTTGACCCTTTGACATTAACCTTGGAGTTTGACTTACTTTTGGAAAACTTTGATCTTGGACAGAACTTTTGAACAGTTGGTGCTAGGGCTTTCATATTTAACATGTCTATTCCTTGTAACAAGACCTTTCTTTGGATACCAACAATCGTAATCCATTGACCTTGTCCTTGGAGTTTGACCTACTTTTGAAAAACTTTAACCTTGGCATATAACTTTTAAACAATTAGTGTTACGGTTTTCATATTTCACATATGTATTTCTTGCGAGAGGGCTTTTCCTTGGGCACCATTTATTTTGACCATTTGATCTTGACCTTGATGTTTGACATACTTTTGAAAAAACTTTAACTTTTTCCATATCTATTCAATAGTTACTGCTAGGGCTTTCATATTTCACAGGTATATTCCTCGAGACAAGACCTTACTTTGGGTACCAACATATTTGTTTTGCGTTTGAGAAAGTTTAACCTTTACTTTAAGTTGCCATACGGGGGCACCTTTTGGCAAGTAGCTCAGTCTGAATTGAGAAATAATTTTAAATCCCCAATACATTACCATAAAATGAGTATATAACATAATCACGTGTAAATATAACATGATTTTTTATCTGATGATAACCAGTTTATTTTACGGATTAATTTTTTTTTTAAAATCGTGTATGTTTTGTTTTGCTATCTACATGTATATTGATAATATTTACATGTTCACGTATCTTTAATAGATATATTAATATAAATACCTGTCCAGTTCTTTCTTGACGAACATTTGCAGCAGAAGGCCCACTTTCACGATATCCAGTTAGGTTTTTCTGCTTTGTACCTAAAATGTTGTTTGAATAATTCGATTATTGAAATTTACTTTGATCAGAAAAAACACAAAAGTTACAAATATTTAGAATTGCATGTAACCAGTAATATAAACAAATACACCTACTAAGTATATATAATTGTTTCAAGCCTCGCATTTTGATACTAACCTTCATCTCTGAAACTTTATACCAAGGGTGTGTGTATGTGCAAGCTTAGTGAAATATTCGCTTCTTTCATATAGGTATACATTTTATATAAATATTGCATGTTTTTGAGGGTAACAGTTGAAATTGATACCTCGAGAGAAAACTATTGGATCAATACTATTGTTTACATTCTGTGTAGTCAATTTTATTCTGGATTATTATACCTTTACTGGGTTTTTGCTATGTAAAAGAAGATCGTCAGATGTGAATAATCCTCTAGAAATCACTGTGAATGGACCAATCCCGTGCATGACAGGTGGGCTAATCCCTGCTTCAAAAACTATTTCCAGACTATCCGTAATCCTCTAGAGTTTACTTTGTATTGGTATAATTTGTGAATGGGGACTTATCCCCATGTCTTAGTCAAGTGAACTAATCCCTGCTTTAAAAGCTATTTTTTGTTATCCGAAATCCTTTAAATTTTACTTTTGTTTCGGTATAATACATGATATAATATATCATTGAGGAAGTTAGCAAGATTCCAGTTCCCCAAGGCCAGGACTATTTCCAAGGCGAAGTTTCTATCATGTTGGAAGGCGTGGTTTCATCTTTCAGAGAGTAACAGTATTATTTTTAACAAATGTTTCTCGACGAATCATATTTAAAATTTACATGAAAGTATAGTACAAAAATCATATCTGTTTGAACTTTCAGTAAGGCGTAAAATTCTCGGCTATGCATAATTAGCGTCTCTCAAATAATGACCTAGATTCTCATTGGTTGCCAGATTAGCTCATCAATACTGAAATTTACACAGCTTTTCATTCACGGGTGAAATACACATGGAATAAAAATGGTTCAGACGTCAACGAGTGACGCAAGGATCCAATTACATCGTTTCTTACAGTAAAGAGGTATTGCTTATGTCATCCCATTGTTTGTTAACAACAATCTAAAGTTGCTAATGTTATGAATTCCTTAACCAATGAGAATCTAGGTCACCATTTGAGAGAGCTGAGATTGTCACGCCTTACTGAAAGTTCAAGCAGAAATGATATTTGTACTAATATGATACATTCATTGATGGAGTTCAAGAGCAGCATGCGTTTTGTCTGACCTAAGAACCAAACTGTATGCCTGGAGCCGTTAGGCCGAAGGCAGATAGTTTGTTTCGAGGATCGACAAAACGCATTTTGCCACAGAACACAGTCTACAAATGTTTTGTTATACCTTTTATTTTATTAACATACATGTCTCTTATGCTGGCTTGCATGAAGTAAATTTCCTTTATCCGCACTGCGGTTAATCTCAGTCAATTCCGTCACTGTCAAACACCAACGAAGATTAATCCCGCCCAAAGTGTGAGGTAGCGGTGCAATATCTCAACGACATGTCCAATATCTCACTCTGCAGTCAAACATTGATATTTTTTGACCGCTCAGTAAAACATTGGAAATGTTAGACTCTTTATGTCCCCGTATCGAAGATTCGGGGGTATATAGTTTTTGCCCTGTCCGTCCGTCTGTCTAGCTGTCTGTCTGTTTGTCTGTTTATCCGCAAAAACTTTAACATTGCTAATAACTTTTTTTTAATAACATTTATTTTGACCATTTGACCTTGACGTTTGACTTACTTTTGAAAATTTTTAACCTATTCCATATTTATTCAATGGTTGCTGCTAGGACTTTCATATTTCACATGCATATTTCTCGGGACAAGACCTTACTTTGGGTACCAACATATTTGAGAATGTTTAACCTTTGCCATAAGTTGCCATACAGGGGCATCAGTGTTTCACAAACACATCCTTTTTTAGTTCAGATTTATAAAGGATACAGTTTTTAAAAGTATAACAAAACGAATTATTAAATGCATCTAAACCAATAGGATTTTAGTATTTAACATGAAAGTGTAATATTATAATTTCTCACCTGTGTGTCTTTTAATATTAAACTTTAGGCTTTGCTCAGTTATATTCCCAAATAACTTTTCGACGTCATTCCGTTCCAAAGTTTTCTGCTGATGTCTTGGAGGTGATACTTCTGGCAATTCTGGAACATCGGTCATTCTTTTTATGGCATCAACTCTTTCATTGTGTGTTAAGATGAATTCGACCGAAGAAGAGATTGGACCTTTGGCCTCGTGTTCCTTCAGAAATATCTTTATTTCAGAAATGAAATTCTGCATTTTCTTCTCTTGACTTTGTAGCTCTAACATAAGGGATGCTTCAATGTCGGTCAAATTTTGATTTTTCTCTTGTAATATGACATCAACGAGATTTTTGATTTCTTGTGCTGTGGATCGCAAATCAGATCGTATTTTAGCTATCTCACGTTTACATTTCTTTTTATTTTGTTCGATTTGTGTTGCTAATGTTGTACTTTCTGTGAGGCTTTCATCTCTTAAATGACGAACAAGAAACATCAATTCGTTCATTTTGGCTTTGAATACACCTTCAATATTAGTCAGTTTGTGGCCATTATGAACTTCTTGCACGCACTTCATACATACGGGCATCTCACAAGGCTTACAGCAGGCTTCATATATTTTGTCTGGATGAAATTTACAGCGCTCACATGCAGCTCTTTCCTTCCTCTGAATGTATGGGACTACATCGTGATTGCTGGTTTCTTTTCTTTGCTGGTGCCGGTCTCTACAGTCTTGACAGAGGTTAAACTGACAGGTGTTACAGTGAAACTGAGCATTTGAGTCACAGGTCGTGCACTCAATAAAATGCTGTGCAAACCCAGAATCCATAGTTCTGCTACAAGAAATTACTCGGTGTGATTTACATGTTTGCAACAATACAATACAGGCAATTACAACTCATTTGAAAATGTACAGACTTGAAAAGCTTTCAACAAGTTTAGCAAATCATTTATAATGTACAATGTGTCTTGATGTTTTAAAATGATGATGACGGATAACTTCTTTAATTTGAAATAGTGGAATTTTTACACATTCTAGGACAAAAAAATGGTTTTCTTTCAAAATCTGATTCATGGTTTTCCTTTCAATTCCATTTTCCACGATAAATGTTTTATAATAAATGAGTTATTTAAAACTGAAAATATCAGAAATTGGGTGTAAATGTATATACTGTATTGTTTTCAGTTTTGTTAAACTTCAAATGTGTATCTACATGTATACTGTGGGGGGAAATTTCATAATGTGCAATCTTTGGATTGTTATTATACAAGTACAACGTACATGTAGTTGGTGAATGCGTTTTATGTTACCTGTTTTCGGAGTTCTATACCTTGTTGTATGTCAGACGTTTGTTTATGGTAACCTAGTAACCAGTTGCAACACGAAGGTAGAAAATTTGTCAAATTTTGATATTAAGATAACATTGAATATTTTTAAAATAATAAATCTACTTTAAATGATAATTAAATCTACTTACCTTTTTCGTCGTTGGTTTAAATTAGTTCAAACAGGGAATTTTACTAAACAATGCACTGCTACCTGATATGCGTGTTTCATTTTACGTTACTTGATTTCATTTCTGGATGGCTAAACACAAATTAAATCATTGTGCTTCCTTGGAAAAGAATGGTAACTCTTGAAATTGCAAAAAAATGAAAGTAAAATCGGTATCATTAAGCGACTCAAACTTAAGATCTTTTTTTCTAATAAGCTGTGTTACATATGAATATCATTTTAATCCCGGGATGGAAAAAATGTGAAAATGGATTAACAGCGATTAAGTGTTGGTTTTCTGATAACAGTGTTTGTTTGTTTGTTTTGTTTTGTGTTTTTAATAAAAAGATACCGGTATTTTAAAAATTTTAACTTATTCTGCATTTTAGTTTCGAGGGGGGGGGGGGGTAGGAAAAATAACTCTTGCAAGTTGACTTTTTATACCATTTTCTTTTAAATTGGAATTTTCCTTTTGCTATAACACTTTTAGTTCAATTTTTTGCATTCTATTCATTGATAACTTTGATAAACATTCTTGTCTATTTGCATCTATAACTGACTTTCCATACTATTCATACACTTCTCAAGAAGAAAAAAACACATTGGTTGTTTTTTGGAGAGAGAAATTATAAAAGATACCGGTATATTATTGAATATTTTGAAGTCTTTTCTTCTCTCTTTCTCTCTCTTTTCATGTCTGAAGAAGATATCCCTCACTTGATATTGAGATTTTTGCAATTCAGTTGATAAAAAACTTAAAATAAATAATCATCATTTGGATACATACTGTAGAATTTTGATTTTGAAATCTACATAATAAGTGTTGCTGTAATGAAAGAAAATGTGAGAGTAACGAGCCTCCTTCCGATTGTAGAGGAACAAAAACAAAAACATTAAGATATTTTCAGATGTAATTTTAGGAACAGATTTTTAGCCAATCAAAATTCAAGAACATATTCAGCCATATTCAGCCAAATGCCACTTCATGGTGTGAGACGAATTTTCCAGTCGACGAGCAGAGTTTTGATGCTGTTTACGGAGACAAAATAAAGACAAGCATGTTATATACGGTTTTAAAGATCAATTATCGTAGAAGAGAATGGTAATAAACAATTTGCCAGTGTATATTATTTGAAGGTGTAAATGACTGTGAAGCTGGGGAGGGAGTACCCCACACAATACCTTGTGTTATTATTATACTATGGCTATGTTCAAGTTCATGATGAAAAAAAAATATCTTACAACCATTGACCTTAATCTTTGACCTTTATAATTAGGCTTACTCCAAAAGCAACACATAACCCCCATATATAAGGTAAGACATTGTTGAAACATCACTGTCTTTGACATTGACCTTTGGACCCAAAATTAGATGTTAATTGCCACCTAGCATCATCACTGTAATGAAAATAAAAGATACAATGTATTTAAAATAATACATTCTGTTTCAAGTTCACGGTATGGACGCACAAATGCACGATTCGAAGCCTTTTTGTCATTTCTCTTGCAAAGCCGTTGCTAGGGGATAAAATATGAATTAGGTGTCCAATGATATCATATCATTGTTTATATTTTTCTTGTTTAGATATCTAAAAATCTGTATGTTTCACTCTTTCTTCATACATGTATTGACAAATACAAGTACACATTCCTATAGCTTACATGATTTCGTGACAATGACAAGACATAATTTTTTGTGGGGGAATAATAAATGCTATATCGATATTAGACTACATGTGTATAATGTTTCTTCGTTACACTAGAGGACATTGTGTATTGTTTGCATATATGGCTATCGGAAACTTTTCCAATATTTTCTTTTCAAGAAATTCTACATTCTTTCATTTCACAGCGTAATGAAATGGCTGTTTCTGCTATTTCTATGGCAACGGTTTCAATTGTTTGTTAACTTCCCTCTTCCTCGCGTGTTTTTTCATGTTAGCAAGCCTATTTATTAATCCATTTTCAGAGGTAATATAGATACATATGGTCCAGGTGATAGGAATGAATAGTGTTCATTATATTCGCCTGATTTCATTCTCTCTCTCTCTCTCCACAAATACTAAATCAAAACTACTCAGTCATTAAAACAGTTTTGAAATATTTTCACATTGTTAAAGTTATTTATGCATCCTATCTATAAGATTACTAATTTTAACGGAAATCAAAAGGAAAAAATACAAGAAAATGATCGAATTTTTTCGTTGCTTTTTCACAATTTTTTCTCATATGCAATACTATGTACTGTTCAATTCAGGTATTGGATGGGCAGATCATACTTCTTTTGTCCTATTTCCATGTTATTTATCAGATTTTAAATGTATTTAGAAAAAACAACAACAAAGACACGCACACAGTTTGAAACACATTTCACATGTTCACGAACGCTTCTTTCTGTAAAATCCTATTCTGGCCATGCACTGTATTTGCGAAAGGTTCAATGTTTCATGGTCAAAACTGACCGAGACATAAAACTCTTGTAAGATTTAAAGTCTATGATTTATTACTCTGGGTTTATAATGTTATTCAAATACTGTGTTTATTGTTTCTCGTGGAAGGATTTCAAATACTAAGGAGGTCTCCTTGAGAGTGCAATTTACATGTATGCGTTTTTCATTTTTAAAATACACGCACAATAACAAGAAAAAAAAATTCATTTTCAAACCATATATGGATTTGCATCTTTTATGAATGGATGGGTTATTTAATTTTATGCTTTTATTTTCACAGCGTGAATCCATGGGGTACCCAAATTTGAAATTGTAACTTCTGATGAAATAAAGTTTATCAACCTCAGTGTATAACGTGTACATGTAATAAACTCGGGTGAAAATCCAGGTATTGTTATAGCGAGCCCTGGAGATACAAGGTTAATAGCATGATACGTATACATGTAGCACTCATTATTTTGTCTATTTCAAAAGATATTTCATTACTGTCGATTTCCTCGGTCTCGTCGATTGCAACAAGCATCTTTATTACAACGATGGCGCTCTGCATCTCCGCTCTCATAACATGCCATCAGAAAGATCAGTTTTATGTGCCCTTTACTGCATCGTATGGCCCTGGAGACAGGTAAAAGTCGCCATTTCGCAGCAGGCTACCGAGAGTACGTGAAATTTCTCTTTAACCTCCCGTCGAAGCCCCTTTATGGACACCTCGATATATGTGTAATGTCTTTCAAGTTTGAACTTTTTCACATATAATTATCTTGGCCGTGTAAGGTGGGAAGGTGTTTTTCATTTAAACTTCATGTGCTTCGGAGATTATATTGATAAACAGGTAATAATGCGCGACGCACGGATTATGTATTTTAGTACGTACATCAGTTAGGTTTCTATTATTGATTGACAGACCCTGGTATCAAATGAATATTGCCAGTGTATAGTATTTCAGCTAATATCCCTTCCTAATTGAAACACGTGAAACCTCGAGACCAAGAGGAATATTTCACCTGTATATACTAATTCTTCATAATTCCATAAGATAGATTTTCATACCTTTTTTCACGTTCTATTTACCTGCATTGTGTACGATTTAAATCCTTTGGACTGCAATAAACAAAATGAAATGCTCATAAGGTAGGTTTACTTTTTACGTAACCTTTCATTTTTGTTTTCAGATATGTATATAGCTAACAAAAGCTTTTCCTTGTATTTATCATCATTTTGTCTTTTACTAATGCTTGATACAAAATTAATACAATACATAAATACAGCATATCTATTTATACATCGCATTTTATAAAATGATTTCGATTGAGGATTTGTTAGATATAAGTATCAAGTAAATGAATTACAATACTAGTATCCGTTATTATTTTTAATGTGTACTTGCAATTGTAAACATTGAGTATTTCTATGTGTATTTCACTACAAGCTATTGCTGTTCCCAGCAAAGTGCTATGATGACTATAAATAATAAAAGCATTTATATAATCGGGGGGGGGGGGGGGGGGGCGAGAACAAAAAAGCTATTTCATCGCTGGGTTACATGTAGTGTATATGAAATTAACAATTTTATTTAATTCAAACGCTTTCTAAAGTTGGGCTGAGTAAAAAATGGTTTACAACTTTGGTAATATATGTGGATTTGACAATCTCTTAACCCCCCCCCACCAATGAATTTTCATGTTAAAATTTTGTATGTTTTCACAACTCGCACAAGTACATGTATGTATACGCAACGAAAATGATCCAGACACTTCATTTCCTCCAACCTGGCATAAACATATCTGATATGGTAAAATCTAATTCACCTCGCTGAAACGGAAACCTATACAATGAAATATGTAAGTCATTTTTTTTAAAAGCGTGCGATTAATACTCAAAACAAACTGATCAATAATCTAATCATCAAAATGTTTGGGCTAAAGGTAATTTGATCAAAATCTACTCACTCAAAACAACTAAGTGATCCGTCTACTTGACCTTGGGCTCTGTTTTGTAAGTGTTTCCTCGCCTGTGAAGTGGCCAAAATAAAAATATGGCTTTAACTCTTTCTATAGGAGAATGTCAAACGAAATTTAAGCCCTATCTTCAGCGCAAGCAGTCTAATCCCCGCATGATTTGTATGGTGCGAACAGTCCGGGTCAAGGAATGGCCGGACGGATACATGTATGCACGTGAGTAAATTAAGAAAATTTCTAATTAAGTTATTGGCAAGGGAACGGGTGTCTTTTCCAAACCCACATTTTCTTACACTGTAAATTATATATGTACGTCGTAAACATATAATTTGCTGGTTATTCTGTGTGCCTCTGTCGTACAACTATAGTATTATGAACAATTGTACAAGTCTTTCATATTTTTTCATTAATTTGCATCTCTGTGTAATATTAGAGAAGATTTGCATTTAAAACTTTACGGGGAATCTTATGATGTATATATGCTTTTACATTCCCGTATTTTCATAATTTAAATAAGATACATTTCATTGTTCGTACATTTCATTTATATCGTAGGAGCCTCCGAGTGGGAGGAAAAGTACCCTGCAGCCGCGGGTCAGTCACAGTCCCCAATCAACCTCGTATCTAACGACGCCAGGTTTGACCCAGTCCTCCTGGAAAAACCCTTGACAATTAACTACTTTACGTCACGTGAAACTGACATCCTGAATGACGGTCACAATATTGTCATCTACCCTAAATATCGTGGGGGTAAGTGGTTTAAAAGAATTTTGTAATTAAAAGATAAAAACTCAAAATATTGTCACCTTATCGTAGGAATATTTATACATAATATAGTATATGTACATTTATACTGAAAGACAACGTTACTCGAAATTTATTAAAAGTTCTAAAACTTTCTAATATGTACATGCAGCACACACATGCATATCATTAAATATTTTCGCTTAAAATTGCAAAAAAAAAAAAAAAAAAATAGCCACGGAAACTACAGTCTTCCAAAAAAAAAATCACAGGAATAAATAAATACTGCTTATGTAGAATTTTTTATTTCACCCATTTTTTTAACGTATAGATCCTTTCAATAATGTTGACAGCATTTTTTCCTTTTGTTTCAGTAGAAACCTCATTAAGATTGGACCCCTCTGCTCGCTCGGGTAAATACTCTCTTATCCACCTTTTCTTCAAGCAGTCATTAAAATCCTCATAGTTATAATCAAGTTGCACTGATCGTGGGAATATTGTTTAATTTGGCAGGATTCGTGTTTACTCCGACTGTGTGAAACACCCACTTTTACTCAAGTCAGTGTAATTAATCTATGGGACATAAAATTGTTGGTTAAAATACATTAATCCATTTCATTAATTTTGATCTACTTTAATTTCAAATTCAACAACAAAAATGTATGACCTTGTTAACGCATGAATTGAAAGTGATAATTTTATGAATGTAATGATTTAGACCGTATCTTTAAGGTGATTTTATTGAAACGGAGAGACCCCTCCCCCCTTTCCCTCGACTTTGGTGTGCAGCAAAATATCTTATACCCCACAGATTTTCTTTACTTTTTATGCAAACTGATTTAAATAGATACAAAATATTTATTCCAAACTTAATTAGTTTGAGAATATTAATTGAAAACTCGTCACATTTGCAGTGATATCTGGCGGTCCCTTAACCCCGGGGTCGGAGTATGAGCTGTCCGACATCCGGTTCCACTGGGGTCGTTACAGCACCAGGGGGTCAGAGCACAAGGTCAACGGAAAGGCTTTTCCAATGGAGGTTGGAATATTTTCAGTCACTTTACTGGTCTATAGAATTATGACAGGTGTCATTAAAGAAATGCGTACATTGAGTAACGTGAAATGAAAGCTTATATTGTTTAATATTTCCTCCAAAGAAAGCTTATTGAGATAGCGTTGATCATTTGATAAAACAAAATCTCGGTAGTGATACTACATGTAACAGATGTTTCCCTGTACAGTGGTATGATTCGAAGTAATGTAGTAAAAATTCAGATGATGCTTAAAGATATCAGATTCGTGACGAATTAACCCACAGGCTCCCTACGCATGATTGATTGTAAAATATTGTATATATTCATTTATTTATTAATCGTCATTCGAAAACCTAAATGCGCAAATGATTCCGTTAAATAAAGTTTTATATCAGTGTAAAACTTTTATGAGTGGTGAGGGAACACTTTATTTGGCATAGCTTTTATGAAAATCTTTCGAGTTCATAAAAATATTTTATTTCATTTTAAATCGATAACAATGATTTTCCTGCATAGAATTCTCTTAAAATCTTAAGTAATTCAGTATTTTTGGGGTTTTGTTGTTGTTGTTGTTTTTTTGTTTTTGTTTTTTTTTTCCCCACCATCGGATTTCTAATCTTGTTAAATATATGTTCATTTTATACTTAATCGAACTCTTTAATGCTTGAAATAAAATCTTGTTTGCTACAAAAGGCAGAAATACTCCGTTTTGCGAATGCTATTTGTAAGTAAATTTATGATTACTTTAAAATTATATATATATTTTCAAACATGTAAATACGTATAAATGTATAAAGGAATAATAATTTTTTTTAAAAAATGATGCTATAATTAACTATATTGTTTATAACTATTTTTGGCATTGTCATGAAGCACAAGAAAAACTTTGCAAATTTTCTATGACGGTATATATTTTTATCTCTCTCTCATGACATGTATGTATATGTATGTATGTATTACATGTAGGTTCAGCTTGTCCACTGGAATACTTCGATGTTCCAAAACTTTGAGGAAGCACTCGGAAAACAGAACGGGATTTGTATTATATCCCTATTTGTGCAAGTAAATATCTATTTTTCAGAGTTATTCCTCTTTCTACGTGTACAGTTAGCTATTGCAAAAATGGTCTTCACTGTTGTTAGTATAAATCAAGATTTTTTTTAAAATTCAATTTCATTGCTTACATATGTACTACAATTTTCTGCGAAGCTTACTGTGAAGACATTTTGAATACATAAAAAACGTACAAGTCCTTCTAATTACGATGGATTCGAACAAAATTTAGATACTTCAGATGAGCTTATACTATATTAAAGTTTTTGGAGCATGCCCAATTACCAAGTATATTATAAGCCAACCTAGACCAAACTTGTGAGGATGGGACGTCAACGGATGGTCAGTACTGTCCATGCTTCGGATGCTGCACCCTAGCTATACATTCTACCTGTGTGGTTCAGGTCCATTCACAAAGAGTAATCTCTACCTGCATCCAAACACGCAAGGATGATGCATCCAAAGGTGCTTACTTCTGGTTATGGGCCTTATTATATTTATCCATAAAAGTGATGGTGTTCAAAGCTTTTTGAGCAGATGTGTTCCTTAGTAACTGCAGCGAAATCATGAATGATCCAACTAAGGATGCTTACAATCATGCATGCTTCATGTATTGTATCAATATTTTTCCAGATAAGTCAGGGTCAGGTTGCAGATTTTGAATAAGTTTCATTGCTAGCACATGGATCATACTATCCCATTTTCATGTTTTAAATTTACTGGGTAAAGGCAAATAAAAAGAATATAGAAAATGAAAAATATACCTTTTTAAATTTTGTATTTTTCCACCTGTAAATTAAAGGTTTTCAACATGTTATTAACTGGACGAAACTTGCAAAAATGATGCATCTTGGAATTTTTACCATTTTTTCCACGGGTTTTATGAGCAGATTCTTTCTGTAAGCTGTAAAATAAGCTCTCTCAGGACTACACTTGCAAGAGTATACTGTATTAAGGGATACTCCTTTCAGGCGTTGGATTTCTTTTAATTTGATCTTTATTTTATGGAAAGGTTAGTAGATTAAACCATTACTATAAGACTTGGCTTGCCTGGACAAACATTGCATGGATTATGCATTTAAGGATACATTCTAATGTAGTCTAGTTTCAGGCGCTATAATATATTCCAAAGTAACAAGTGTAACACGTAGAACATTGTTGATAGTAGGCTTTGCCTTAATTATAGAAAACGTTTGCTGAGGTGACCTTGTAATCTTTGATTATCTATGTTTCAGATTGGAAAAGAAAATACCGGTATTAGAGCACTTTTTCCTGATTCACTAGCTGAGATAGCTTACAAAGTGAGTAAAATTAAATCAATACCACTGACTCCTCCTAAAAAGGTTGATATTATTTTATTTTTAAAAATTATATCGTACCTTATGACTGTGTTGTATGATAATCATTTCGTAATTGTTGGGTATTTTTGCATTGTATGAGATTGTTGAGGTACAAATTGATGGAGTAAGAAACGAATCTGATTTAGGAACAACTTTTTAAAAATATATATTCTCGTAAATCAAAATTATATGTACTGCTATTTATTTAGCCATGACAATTATTTGGAATTTTAAAATAAACTAGAAATATGCCCACAGGTCATAAATGCCCCACCCAGGGTTCATTAGTAATGCAACATGAAAATTTGTATTAGTGTATGAAGTTTGATGCAAATATCTTGAATAGTTTCTTTAAGACTGAGTTTTAGACACAAGTAACAGGAAAGTCAAAGTCACTAGGAAGGTAAAGGGAAAAAATGGACACAGTTGATAAGTTCTCACCAAATTATGTATCAGTGCGTAAGCTTACATAAAAATATCTTGAATAATTTCTTTGAAACTAAGATAAATGCAAATTTAAGAAAAGTGAGGTCAAGGTTAAAGGAAAGGTCAAGGTCAAAAGATAACAATACAGTTGAATAGCTCTCATCAATATGTATCAACATATGAAGTTTGATAAAAATATCATTAATGGTTTCTTTGAAACTGAGCTACATGTAAACATAAATATTTTTTTTTTTAATGTGAGATCAGGGTCAAAGGAAAAGTCAGAAAATGTTAACGCAGTTGAATAGCTCAAATTTATATGTATCAGCCTAAGGTTTAATATAAATATCCTTGAAACTGAGCTAAACATAAGTTTTTGAAAAATGAAGTGAAGGTCAAAGGAAAGATCATTGTCAAGAAATGTTGATGCAGTTGAATAGCTCTCATAAATATGTACTCGTATCACATTTGAAGTTTGATAAAAATATCATGTATTGAATACATGTAGTTTCTTTGAAACTGAGCTAAACACGAAATTTTTGAAAAGGGAGATCAGGATCAAAGGAAAGGTCAAGGTCAAAAAATGTCAATGCAGCTGAATAGCTCTCAATAATATGTATCAGCATATAAGGTTTGATAAAAATATCTTGAATTATAGTTTCTTTGAAACTGAGCTAAACATATTATTATTAAGTTTTTGAAAATTTAAGTGAAGGTCAAAGGAAAGGTCATTGTCAAGAAATGTTGATGCAGTAGAACAGTCACATCAATATGTATCATCATATGAAGTTTGATAAAAATATCTTGAATAGTTTCTTTGAAACTGAGCTAAACGCGAAGTGTGACGGAAGAACAGAAGGATGCAGGGACGGAAAGACGGAAGACGGACATGACAAACACTATATGGCGGGGCATAAAAATCACAGTGTTAAAAATACCGTAAATCTATTTATTTGATTTTAGCTATCATCTTCTTTTAGGGTCGGCAAAAGACTACCAACGCCCCATTTAACCCTGTTGGTTTGTTACCAGGCAAGTATTCATTTCAGAATTTGCATATCGCACAGACAATGACATGCGGTGTTAATTGCAGGAATCAAACAAATTGTATGTTCAACTTATTTGTAAACATTCTAAATATTGTCGTGAAGAACATTGAACAGATGTTAAATGCTATTGAAATCCCAGTATATTAAAAAATTAATAGCTGCTATATATAGAAATATAATTTACATAATATGCCAATTCAGTCTTATTTATAACAATAAATTTTTTATAAAAAAGAACAAAAACCAAAACAAAAACGGTATTTTTAGTCTATCACATTAAAGTTTTGTAACTCAGACTAGATTAACTTTTTCACTCCTATATGATTTTATTCAGAATATTACCGTGGGCAATATAGCCCATCATAATATACATGTAATAATAGCATAAAATATGTAACATAGAATACAATTATTGGAATCTCATGGAGTCAAAAATGGGGAAGGGGAGACCTCTGATCAAGGATCAAGTGTTCCTAATGAGCAGAGCACTGCAAAGCGACACTTAGAGATCGTCTTTCTGTCTGTCCGCCTGTCTCACCTTATATTTTAGAACTGTAAGAGCTGTGGAATTGATATTTTGCACATATATTGCCTGGTACTATTGTTTTTGTAAATTGTCATGGTTACCAACCTCTTGACCCTTGACCTTAAACCTTTGATATACTTTTCAAAATTAGATCATAGGCCGATATACAGCATATTTTGACATTTAAAAGTTAAAGCTATGCTATTTTGCATGTGGAATTTTTTATCATAAAACATTATGAAAAATACCAGCATTACAATCCACTTGACCATGATCTTTTGACCTACTTTGCAAGAGATGCCCCGAACAGTTTAATTTAACTCATGCCTTTTGAATTTTGAAAAGCAGGATTTTGATGATTAGCATTTATACATCTTTTTGAGCTCATGATACTGTACTTTGAATCAGTATGATATTCAGTAACCATACAAACTCATATATATTATATATTAAATACTATGAAAATACATCGTGATCGGTATTCCACAATAGGTAGTGTAAACTGACAATTGCAGTAAAGGCACGTTGAAAGCTCTTTTGTAGATTGTTGGAAACACGTATTAATAAAATGATAGTTATTTCTATATTTTCAATTTAATTATTCATTTGAGGTTTTGGGAACAATATTTTCTTTGTCAGATTCTATTGCAGTCTTATACTATCCGTGTTTTTTAGCTCACCTCAATGAAGTTTGGGGAGCTTATGTAATACCCTCGGCGTCGTGTGAGGTCATTATTGTTTGGAGCAGGTCTCATTTCCAAGTAACTATAAGCCTATATTGACCAAACTTGCATGGATGATACATCTAAGGATGCACACAACTGGACTTGCTTCAGAGTTTGGATCTGACCTACATTTACCGGATGAGTGACCAGGTTAAAGTTTTGGAGCAGGTCTCATTCCAAGTCACTATAAGCCCTATATGGTCATTCTTCAGCTTTCAATTTTATTTTTTAGGATTGAGGAATCACATTATTTTCTATTTGAATGTCACATTTTATGATAAATACTACTATGCCATGCGACTTATGCGTTCCCTGGAACACTCTAAATTTATCTTTAATTTTATGTCTTCTAAAAACAATAATGGAATGATTACTTGTATGTCTACCATAACCTCTGTCATTCAAATGAAAAATTAATCGTTTGAAGCAGAGTTCAAATAAAAATATTGCTTAAGGTTTTATGAACTTATTACAACCTTCTTGACTGTTACACCTTAATTGAATAGTTCCTTGCAAAATCTTTTTTTTTTTTTGTGTGACTTGCTTTTTATCCAATCAGAGCAGATAAATCCACACGGTTTTCAATATGAAATAATTCAAATTTATTATGTCTAGACATGGCAAATAGAATGTAAAAAGCACGAGCAATTTATTCTTATTTCATAACACAATTTTCTGAAGTCTCAAGTTTCTTTTGCCTCTAGGTTGTAGTAAAAGAGTCTGACATGGAATAATTTATCTTAGATTTATTGCAAGCAGGTCTTGTGAATGGCAGAACTTGGCAAATTTACAGACAAAGTTAATATGTAAAATGTAGCTCTAAGAAACGAACATCAATGTTTTATTGTAACCTATTTGGTCAAATTAAAGTTCGAATTGGTGCTTTAGAATGATGGAAAAGGATACTCAATAACTTTTTTTTGGTTCATCTATGCAAGATTTTCAGTTTTATATAAAAAAACGTTTATGATCTTTCTTTTGCTTTGTTTGAAGTTATGTAGGACAATGGTAAGACTTAATTCTGTGAATAAAAATAATTTTGCATAAGTATCAACCTTTTTTCTTCTTGTCCAAAGAACCAGATCTCCGAGATTACTGGACATACGAGGGTTCACTAACCATGCCGCCATGTTATGAGGGTGTCACGTGGATTCTGTTCAGGTATCCCATGATGATCTCGGCTGAACAGGTAAGGTCTTGGAGATACGTCTGATGCTCATGGGAGCTTATTGATAATGAAATATCATATATTAATTTTTTCTTATTCCTAGATTGACGATTTCAGAAGGTTGTACATGTATACCAAAGATGAAAGGCCCCCTAATGGTTGTGAAGGGCGACTACTGGATAACTTCCGGCCTCTTAAACCACTTAACGGAAGAGTAGTGCGAGCTTCTTTCCAGTGACACTAAATTGTAGATAGAAATGTACATATCGAATGTTATTAGTACCTGTGAATATGTGCTTATTAACTATTTATTGTTTTTAAAATACATCTGATTGTATTGGTGCTATTGTTTGATCAGGATTTGTTATTTGTACATGCACATGCATGCTGTACAAAGAGACTGCTTGGAATATTCGTTGTAGACCACATTTCATTATAAACCATTTTCAATGATGCCTGGATATATCCCTCCTGCTGTGTCGTTGCATTAAATTTCCCTTTTATATTTTTCTGCTTTATTGAATATTTTAAAATGTTTTAATGTTGCCTGATGGCCTCCTTAAACATATTAACGAAGATTGTTAATCAATCGTCGTTATCATCCATGCAAGTTTGGTCACGATGGGTTTATAGTTATTTAAGATGAACTTCAACTTGGTCACTCATCCAGAAAATATAGGATTTATAATCCGAAGCAAGTATTGTAGTTTTCATCCTCATATGAATAATCAATGTAAGTTTGGTCAAGGTAGGGCTAATAGATTTTTGGAAATGGACCTGCTCCAAAAACTCAAACTTGTTCACTCATCCGGAAAATGTAGGTCAGATTCAGCATCCAAAACATTTCTAGCAGAGTACATTCCTCGACACATCATACATGCAAGTTTGATGTTTGCAAGTCCAGATAGGACTTTTAAGTTACATGTGAATTATACTCCAAAAACTTTACCTGCTCTAAAAAGACCAACCTGGTAGTTCCTATAGAAATATAAGCTAATTCCCAGTTCCCTGGATTATACCTTGCGTCTGAAGGTTCGGAAAGAGTGAGTTGGAAAAGATTCAGGTCTCAGGACCATAGAATGAGAACAGATCCAAAGGTTTTATTATAGATATATACTAGTAACGCTTTGTATACTTACCACTGGCGGATTTAAGGGGGGGCGTGGGGGGCGCACGCCCCCCCCCCCCTAAAATTTTCAAACTATGATATGATCGACTAATATTAATAATGCCATACTTAAGTATATAACTAACCAATACCACTATTTTTGTGCCTGGTTTTACTCTTAAAATACACGAAAACCCAGGAGCTTCCGGGGGCTTCGCCCCCTGGGCCCCCTCTATTCAAAGTATGATATGATTAGTATTAATAATGCCAAACTTTGGTACATATAAACTAACCAATACCACTATTATTGTGCCTGGTTTTACTCTTAAAATACACGAAAACCCAGGAGCTTCCGGGGGATTCGCCCCCTGGGCCCCCACCAGGGCTTTGCCCTGGACCCACTGGGGGCCTTAAGGCGGCCCCCAGACCCCCTGCCTGAACGAAGTTATCGACGCCCCCCCCTAAACGCAAATCCTGTATCCGCCCTTGCTTACGAAATAATTTTATAAACAAATTTTGTAAATTAAGTGATGTATTTCAGATTTAGTTTTAATTATGGCGACAATGCTGAACGAACGTATGTGAAAGCTGCTTTGGAAAAATATCAATGATTTTTCAGTCATGATTAGTGTTTTTCTTAAATTTTTCCAGTCTACATTGAAACTAAAATAAAATATAGAAGCATGTAGGTTTTTTCAAATAAAGAATCAAGACAAATAAAATGATTTAACATCTAGACTCTATCAGTCTTCTTGTATATATGAAAAGAGCTACTTAGGCAAAAAGTATGTACATCAAGAAAATGTGTATTTTGATACGGTTAACCGGTTAATCGGTCGGAACGCCATGCGGTTAACCGATTAGCAATTCTGTATTCCATCCCTAATATATATATATATATATATATATATATATATATATATATATATATATATATATATATATATATATATATATATATCATATTCACAAATTCACCATGCATGTGTTAATTTGTATTTAATTATATATTCTCCAAACTTGCAAACGTTTTGTTGAATGAAAGTCAATGTATTCAAGAAATATATATTCATGTATATATATTTCACCCTCTATAAAAAAAAAAAAAACAAAAAACAAAACAGGATGGGGACGCGTTTTAGGAGAGACCCACTAAAAATATGTCTGGATTTAGCCAGGGAAATTTCTCGACTAATTCAGCAACCGGAGTGTGTGAGCTATTTATTCAAGAAAGAAATTCTTATCTGCTTCACTATAGGCTGTGTCTAGCCCTTTTTCACCTTGACAGCTCATCCCTGACTCCATCCACTCAACCGGAAGTGAACTCTTCAGTGAATAATTGAAGTCTAAACAACCATTTTTAAATTAAGTAAAATACTCAGTAAACGATTCTACTACGAAATTTGATTCAACTTTTTTAACTTGAACAGTGAAAACTTATCAATTTTTTTCCTTCTCATATTACAATATGCAATCCATATTTTTACAAGGCGCCAAATTTAAATGATCGAAAAGAGTAAACAAAACAATGATCCAAGATGTCAAAACAGCTCAATTTAGCATCCTGATATTGCATTCTTTGTTTAAAGAATAAAATTGATATATATTTCTCAATTTGTCCCATATGTAGTTTTTTTTACACTGAACATAAATATTCACTGCGTAGTTCACTTATAATTACAATCATTGTAATTATTACATAAGTAGACTTTTCTAATACACACAATTCCCTGTATGGTTTTTAGGTCACCTGAGTCACTCAGGTGACCTATTGCTATCTCTTTTCGTCCGTCGTCGTGCGTCGTCAGTCGTTCGTCGGTCGTAAACTTTTGAACATTTTCAGCTTCTTCTCTAAAACCGCTCAATCAATTTCAATGAAATTTGGCATATAGAATTTATGGGTGAAGAGAAACAAAAATTGTGAATTTCATGGTCCCTGCCCCCCTGGGGCCTGAGGGGTGGGGCTAAAACCACCAAAATTAATGCAATCTTTAAAAATCTTCTTTATTCCTGGACATCAAGCAGTCAAACTGTTGGCATCATTGTAATAAGCATTGAGCCCTCTACTAAAATTGTGAAATTCTTGGCCCCAGGGTCAGGGGTTCTGGTGCTAGGGTGGGGCTATATAGATCACATAGTGAAAGTGCATTATTTCTTTGAAAATCTTCTTCTCTGCTCCTGGGTATCAAATAAACTAACTAAGTACATAGTTATGAAGAGCAAGAATGCCTCTTCCAAAATTGTGAATTTCATGGCCCCAGGGTCAGGGGTTCTGGTGTTAGGGCGGGGCTCTATTGATTATATAGTGAAAATGCATTAATTCTTTGAAAATCTTCTTCTCTGTTCCTGTGTATTAAAAAACAAACCAAGTATAAAGTTATGATGAGCAAGAGTGCCTCTTCCAAAATTGTGAATTTCATGGCCCCAGGGTCAGGGGTTCTGATGTTAGGGCGGGGCTCTATTGATTATATAGTGAAAATGCATTAATTCTTTTAAAATCTTCTTCTGTGCTTCTGGGTATTAAATAAAGTAACAAAGTACATAGTTATGATGAGCAAGAGTGCCTCTTCAAAAATTGTGAATTTCATGGCCCCAGGGTCAGGGGTTCTGGTGTTGGGGGGGGGGGGGGGTGTGGCTCTATTGACTATATAGTGAAAATGCATTAATTCTTTGAAAATCTTCTTCTCTGCTCCTTGGTATTAAATAAAGTAACTCAGTACATAGTTATGATTAGCAAGAGTGCCTCTTCCGAAATTGTGAATTTCATGGCACCAGGGGTTCTGGTGTAAGGGAGGGGTGGGTTGGCTCTTTTGACTATATGGTGAAAATGCATTAATTCTTTGAAAATCTTCTTCTCTGCTCCTGGATATTAAATAAACTAACTAAGAACATAGATATGATGAGCATGGCTGCCTTTTCAGAAATTGTGAATTTCATGGCCCCTGGGTCAGGGGTTCAGGTGTTGGGGGGGGGGGGCTCTCTTGATTATTTGCATTAATTCTTTGAAAATCTTCTTCTCTACTCCTGGGTATTAAATAAACTAACTTAGTGCATAGTTATGATGAGCATGGTTGCCTCTTCCAAAATTGTGAATTTCATGGCCCCTGGGTCAGGGGTTCTGGTGTCAGGGTGGGGCTCAATTGGTATATATAGTGAAAATGCATTATTTCTTTGAAAATCTTCTCTCTCCTGGATATTAAATAAACTAAGTACATAGTTATGATGAGCAAGAATGCCTCCTCAGAAATTGTGAATTTTGTGGCCCCTGGATGAAGGGTTCTGGTGTTAGGTCGGGGCTCTATTGATATATAAGGAAAATGCATAAATTCTTTCGAAATCTTCTTCTCTGCTCCTTGGTATTGTTCAAACAAAGGAAGTGCATGATTATGATAAGGAAGAATGCCTCTTCCAAAATTGTGCAATTCATGGCCCCTGGGTCAGGGGTTCTTCTGAGGGGGGGGGGGGGGGCTCAATTGATTTTTTAGTGAAAATGCATAATTTCTTTCAAAATATTTTTTCTACTACTGGTAATAAAGCAAAGAAACAAGTGTATAGTTATGATGAGCAAAGTGCTTCTTCCAGAATTATTAGTTCATGGCCCCTGGGTAAGATTTTCTGGTGTAAAGGGGGAGGGGGCTTTATTTATTTAATAACATAGTGAACATGCATTTCTTTGAAAATCTTGTATTCTTCTGGACATATTCGAGGCAAACAGAGTAAAAGTTTTAATATGCAAGGGTATTTTTGCGAGAATTTTGAACACCTGGATTATTTAGTCAAGTATTCTGGTCCTGGCCAGGGCTCTATGAACTTGTATTCTGCTGAGCAAAGTTATTCCCCTTTGCCATTCACCTTTGATAATCAATCACTGTAAAAAATGTATTTGAAAGGTTAATAGAATAAGAGAATTATGCAACAATATTTATTGTATAATACAAAAAGTACTTTCATAGTTTTAATGATCAGGTAGACTTGGAAATAATCACCTATTCTCACATAATCCGTCCACATGCAGCCTAACTTTCATTAAAAAATAAAGTCATTATTTGGGGGAGAAGTCGATGTTTTTTAGCAAACAAATCATGGGAGAATCATTTTTCAAAATATCAGAACTCAACCATGCATGATGACAAAAATATTCAATATGCAGTATAGGTAGTGTATTTACCTTCGTAATTTACGTTATTATCTTACGTCGAAATGAACCCGTCAAAAATCGTTTTATTGCCAAAATGAATATTCAGTTTCACTTGGATTTTTTTAGCACTATGTCTGTACTAATAAAAATACTTCGAAAATTTTGTTTTTTGCCAGTGTTTTTCTCTTAATTTGTAATTAACGAATTTTATTTGCTTTAATCTTATTTTTCAACTGAAATAATTCTGTTCCTTCTCACT